TCAAAATCAAAGAGTATTTTTGAGGGAAATACGATTTTATCCTCCTGTACGGCAATTTTTATCTGATTTTAAGAAAACGCGTGAATTTCTAAATCAGCGCCAAACGCCAGCTATAGCGCTTGGCGCTAATGTTGGCGCCTGGCGCCAATAGCCAGCGTTGGCGCTAATTCAGTTTTACGTGCGCCAAAACTCTGTTTTGATATTTTATCTTTTCGGCTGATATTTTGATATTCTATCTTTTTGGCTGATTTTCTTTATAAATAACGTCCTAAAAGCTCCGTTTTCGATAACCAATTTTTTTCTACGATTCACCAACTCTCATCAAGATTCTCTTGATTGCTCTCTCTCTCTCTCTTTTTCTAAACTAGCTTCTCTCAAATATAAAAATTCCGCATTCATTAGACTTAGATACACCTAGCCATATTCGAAGTTGCTTTCGCCCTAGACGTGAAAGGTTTAATTTCTGAGGGTTTGGTCCCAAATCTCTCTTTCAATTATTTAATTGTTTTGATTATTATTTTCCTTGAAGTTACTAATGTGTGTATTTTGTTATTAGAAAGAGATACGAGACATCAAAGTAAGTACTTTAATGGTTTTTATTGATGTTATGATATAGAGCTCAAGCTTAGGTTTTTATTATGATTCCTAGTATCATGTCTAGGGTAACTTTAATGTTAAGTATGATTAAAAATATGATGCCTTTTATGTTCTTCATAATATTCATAATAGTGTCATATTAGGGTTAAAGATTTAATTTTTATTGTTTAGTGACATGCTAGGGTTTGTTATTAATCTTGTTAGTATCATGCCTATGATCTTGCTATTATTATGCTTTAACATGAATATTATGATTATGATTATTCTAATTATTATTATGATGATTATTGTTATAATTATTGTTATGTTTTTTATTATTTTGATTATGATTATTATGTTGCTTGATATTTATTGTTATTGATTGATCACACCTTTTATGCGTGTTTAAAGGGAATTTATACTTGTAATCACGCTTAATAAGATATTTAATAATCTTGTTTAGGGTTAATATGATTATAATTCAAGTGATCGCCAATAATAGGTTTGTTTGTGCATTAATATTCAACCAACATAGATAAACAGGTTTAGGGTTAAACCTATTGCTTGTGTGTTAGTCAAAAAGTGCACATGAATACGATTAGAATAAAGTAGAGGCCTATTATTAGGGCAGGTTCAATCTCTTTTAGGTTGGATTTGTACCTTCATCCCCAAACCCTATTTGGTTCAAGACCTTATAGAATTGACGATCTCTTGGATCGTTAAGGGGTGTAACTTTCACCCTGTGAACGGTTTACAAGTTCCTTAAAAAAACTTGTTGGCAACTCTTTTGCTCTATCTTCTTCCCTTTTGGACGCCACCGTACTTTAGTGTATGATCACAGTGGGGTTCAAGCTAGGGGATTAACGCTTGAAATATTCCCTACAGGAACCATGACTGGATATTCGGGGATGAAGGTACAAATCCAACCTAAAAGAGAATGAACTTCCCCTAATAATAATAGGCCTGTACTTTATTCTTCTCATATTAATGTACGCTTTTTGACTAACATACAATCAATAGGTTAACCCTAAACCTGTTTAATCTGTGTTGGTTGAATATTAATGCACAAACAAAATCTATTATTGGCGATTACTTGAATTATAATCAAATTAGCCTAAACAAGATTATTAATTATCTTATTAAGCGTGATTACAATTACAAATTCCCTTTAAACATGCATAAAAGGCGTGATCAAGCAATAACAATAATACGAGTAATAAATATCAAGCAACACAATTATAATCATCATCATCGTAATAATATTTTCAATAAAGCATAATAAAAATAAGATCCTAGGCATGATACTAACAAGATTAATAACAAATCCTAGCATGTCACTAAGCATTAAAGATCAAAGCTTTATACCTAACATGATACTAATATGATAGAAGGGAAGAATAAGAATCATCCCATAGAAACATACATGATAGTAACTTCAAGGAAAATATAAAATCAAACAACTAAATTAAATAATTGAAGGCTTGTTTGGCATTGTTTTTTGTTTTTCAGTTTTTAGTTTTTATATAACTAAAAACCAAAAACAGAAAACAAGAAAAAGGTGTTTCTACTTTTCTGTTGTCAGTTTTCAATATTATCATGATTTCAATGGGTTTGTCAAATTTTTGTTTTATTATGACATATATCATATGAGTTTGAAAACCAAAAAACAGAAAACCATAACGATGCCAAACAAACCCTGAAATAGAGATTTGGGACCAAACCCTCATAAATTATCAACCTTTCACGTCTAGGACGAAGGCAACTTTGAACTTGGATAGGTGTGTCTAGAACTAATGTATGTGGAATTTTGTATAAGGGAGGGTTTAGAATAATAATAGAGAGCGAGAATAAGCTTCTAGCCTTAGAGAAAGAATAGAGATTGATGGTTGTGAATGAAAAAAAAAAAAGGGAGATACAACCCCTATTTATAGAAAAATGGTCCAGAAACCGATCGAAAAGAAATCAAGTCCCATTCGAAATAAAATATCTCTTGTCGCGAACAACAGGAGTTAGCGCTAGATGACAGGCACCAGTGCGAGGCGACAGCTATTAGTGCTAGGCGATAGCTATTAGTACCAGGCGACAGGCATGTGGTCTTGTGCTAAGTAAGAAATAAAACGAGCTTTACACGCGGAATCCTCCTCTTAATATGATTAAGCAGAAAATTCCGCGTTCATCAAATTAAAATCAGGTTTATCATAAAACACTTATTTTATTCCAAATAAAACTATTTAAAATATAATTATCAATCCTTTAAAAGAACCTTCTAGATTTTCTAGAAGATTAAAATCAATCCTAATAAATTTAGGAATAATAATTAATAGGCCCTCCTCTAGATCATTGGGCCACAAAGAAAATTCATTTCGAGCCCAATTTAGTTCTTAGACCATAACTACCTCATTATTCATTGGAATTGGGCTTATAAATATCGTAAAAAAGCTCTTTTGGATCTCGATCCAACTACACTATTATTATACCCTTATCATGGACCAAACTAAATTGGACTGGCTATTTCCATAAATATAGCATAAAAAGGAACATTTAAAAAAAATATATATTTTAATAAAAACAACCACATCACTAGACTTTTCACACTTTCACTTCGTTCGATAGTCAAATAACGTCAAAGCTATTCATCACTGGGTTTGGTTTTGGGGCCACATTTGGGTGTCTACAGTACTCCATCTACTACTAGTATTACTGGCACTGCTACCATTTTTATCCCCTTGTCCTCACTCTACTATGTCTTCATTCACTACTCCAACAACTGCAACAGTTGCATCTCCGATCCTCCCTTGATTTAATTCAAATGAATATTAAACAATTTCCGAAGAGGATGAATTTTTAGGTTTTGGGAATGTATAGTTTTTTGGTTTTTTGTAAAACAATTGCATAACATGGACGAGTAATGTACATATGAATTAAATTATGTTTTTGGATTGTGTTTATGAAATGCATGGAATTGTTTTGTTATTGCTTTTACTAGTATAACGGGTATAATGCAGGTTGGAAAAATTGAGTATATAAAGTTTGATTTAAACAAAATAGCGGTTTATTTAAATATAAAACCGCTAATTCAATTAGCGATTTCTTATAGTAATATAAAATCGCTAATTAAATTATAGGTTTCCTTTTAAACAGGCAAAAAAAAACATATATTTCAAGTTGATGACGTGGATGGTACGTCCGGAATTTTAATAAATTGTAGCGTATTTAGGGAATTTTGTTATCTTTAAACATTATTAACGGAATTCGCTCAAAACTATGTGACATTAATCAAAGTTAGGGAAAACTCAAATATAAATCTGACATAATATAACACATACAATAAATCACCATGTATCTATTTATTAAGAGTTTAATATTCATTTGAAACTTATAGCTCATAGTGTGATTGTAAAATCATATCATACAATATCAAAATAATGTAAGATATTACCAATACACATATACTTGTTATATAGGATTTGTCATATACAAAGACGCAATAATTTATCACAAAATATTGCTCAAAATAATTCAACTTTAGATTAATTTTAAATATAATCCCAACTTTGAGGGGCATTCGCTCAAAATGATCCCAACCAGTCAATTAACTTGTAATAACAGGTTAGGATGACACATGTCACCATTTAATTGGTTGAAAAAAAGTAAAAAAAAATCTTAAAACAAAAAGAAAATTAAAAAAAAAAAGAAAACAAAAGTAAATAGCCCCCCAACCCAGGCCACGGCCACCATTCCAACCACCCAGCCACAACCCTAACCAAAACCCCCACGACCCACGCACACATTGCCGACGCCTTGACATCCTCTTCCAGCGCCGACGGCTACAACCTCGTCCCCTACCCATTGAACCCACCAATCGAAATCCACATATTCCCAACCCGAAACCCCTAAAAACCCCTCCCCCACCACTTTAAACCCTAAATTTGTTTGTCCCCTACCCTCGAAACTCTGTTGTCCAGGGTTTCAAGGTTTTTAGAGGGCCAGATTTGGGGTTTAAAGTGGCGGGGGAGGGTTTTTGAGGTTTCGAGTTGCGTATTTTGGGGTTTCGGGTTGTCATATGGTCGTTTTGGGTGGTGGTTCGTCAAGTTAGGGGGAGGAGTGCGTCGATGCCAACATGAGGTGGAGTGTCTGGGCGCGGGGGGGGGGGGGGGGTTGGTGGCTGCCGGCATTAGGGGTGAAAGTTCGGTATTCGGTTTGGATTTTATACCAAACTGAATCCAAACCGAATTTATTCGGTTTCAGATTTATGAAACCGCATCCAAACTGAATTTGGATTCAATCCAATCCAATCCAAACCGAAATAATACGGTTTTGGAAATTGAATCCAAACCGAACCGAATTTTTTTTAGGTCTGTTATTTTTTGCTTAAATATAGTCAAGTCCATAATAAGTTTCTTTTTAAAAAATTCAGTCCATAATAATATAATATGTCTTGAGGCTTGATATTGGCCAAATTTAAGAAATAAACATAATTAAAAAAAAAATTGTTCAGCCATTAAAATTAAGTTACAAACATAAGAAAGGACTTAAAATTTAATAACAGTAAACATGGAAACTTCAAGCCTTCAATTAACTTGGCAGCTCCAAGCTCCTCAACTTCCTATACAACAACAAAAACACCAAGAAAAATAACAAATTCAGTCAAAAAACATATTACTATTACATGCAGGTTCCAAATGAACAAATCCATACATATATATAAAAAAAGAAATTATAAAAACATAAATATAAAATCAACTACAACATGCAAATCGAGGGGCTAAAAAATCCATAGAAAATCAATCATAATTTCCAATCAACTAGACCCAAATTAATCAACAACACTTCATGATTAATTAGGCCAAATTCGATCTCTTACCTTTGAGTTTTGTAGTGAGAGTAGAACGGCGGACAAGCGGTGGTAAGGGGCCCTGACTGACTGTTGCATTTGTGAGGGAGGTGGTGGTGAGTGATGAAATTGACAAGGTGGTGGCGCGTCGCGGATTTGAGGGAGTATGAAGTCTACAAACACCAGATCTGAAGAAAGGAACTAAGATTCGAACAAGGAGACACCGAAACTGAAGGAAAGAACTGAGATACGGTGGCCAGAGTGAGATATTGTGGTGAGATACGGTGGCCGGAGTAAGGTGATGAGGGAGGAAGTGAGGAAATGAAGGGTTTTGGTGAGGAAGTAGAGGAACCGGGGAATGAAGGTGGGCGAAAATCAGAAAAAATGAAGAAGGATATTAGGGTTTGCTATATATATGTAGGGGAATTGGGCTGGGAATCAATATGGGCTTAAACATTTTGGTTTGGATTTCGATTTTTGGCTTTTTAGGATCCAAAACCGAATCCAAACCGAAATAATTCGGTTTCAGGTATTTGGAACCGAATCCAAACCAAAAACCGAAAAAACCGATCCGAATTTCTAGTTCGGTTCGGTTTGGATCGGTTTACGATTTTTATCCAAACTACTTTCACCACTAGCCAGCATGTGGTGGCAGACTGGTAAGGTTGAGAGTGTATTGGTTGTGGGATTATTTTTTTTTTGTTTTTTTAAACATTTTTTTCAACCTATAATGTGCTGACATATGCCACTCAAAACTAAAAAAAACCTTTGTAACAGGTTACCGATCACTTAGGTTCATTTTAATTTGAGTAAATGACTCCCAAAGTTGAGATTATTTAAAAATAATTCAAAGTTGGGATTATTTTAAGCAAACAGACGTAAGTTGAAATTATTTTTGTCAATTTTTCCAATAAAAAAGTTGTGATTTTTTTTTTAAAAAAAATATTAATTTTTTAAAAAATATAGTTGAACCGCACCGCACCAAAGTTAGAAGTGTGGTTTTAAAAAAAGTATAAATTTTGTGAATTGGTGCAATTTGGGATCCAATCTGCACTATGAACACCCCTAAGCTTCTCTTATAAAATTATCCTTTCGGTCTCTATCCTATGATTTTACTCAATTAAAGAGATAAATCAACTAATTGGTTATTTGGATGTTGGTGTAGTGGTGATTGGGAATATACTTGGTAAGGAAAAATTATGTTCGATCCCCCACAACAATAATTGAGAGGTGACTGAAACCTAACCACCCAGAATTGATCCTCGAATCTGATTTGGGTATTTATACCCGGCCAAGTGGCCCAATCGGAGTCTGACACGTGTCATTAGAAGGGGCGCCACCTTGGACCTTCCAGATGGTGACACATGTCAGGCAGATACCACCCTTGATTTGGGGTATTTGATGGTCTAAAGTAGAACGATAAGAGAGTGACACGTGTTGCCCTATGAGATGCCCAAATGGCCTCTTAGGATGAGCAACACGTGTCACTCAGATACTGCTTCTGAAATGGCGGCCTTCAAAGGCCTAAACTTTGAGGCATCGTTTTGCGGCGTGCCCTAATCCCTAGGTCATCAAACCCTAGGGAAGGCACACTTCCCCAAAAGACCCTATAAATAGGGACAACTCCCTCATTTATGGGGAGGATCGAACAATTTTTGCATTAATTATCGTAATTAATACCGAGTTGTAGTTCCCAAGGACCAGACAGCACCTGAGCTTGGAATCCGAGCAGATACCTTAATTTCCGCACGTTTTACTCCGAACCCTATACTAAGTTAATCTTCGGAGGTGAACCACCGACCATCCGGCGGTCCGTTTGTTTTGTAGGTACAGGCGACCTTGTGAATCTAGTCTTGAGTTGTAACTCTCCCAAGGGACACAAAAGACCCCGAAACATTTGGCGCCGTCTGTGCGGAGAGCACTTCTAAGATGGCTTCTCAATAAAATCATGTGCCGCCTCCAGAGCCCACTCGGCCACTAGAAGAAGTACATGTCCAGACGAACCATGATTCAGGTGACGACGCTGATGTCGAAACCTATGTGGCCTTAATGGGTCACTCATCTCTAAGCGCCTCCGCCAGAAAGACAGGTGAGAGCGCAATGGTAACCAGGCGAGTGCTAATAGGCCCCCTGGATCCAGTAAGCCAACATGGTGTGCGACTGATGACTCCCAGGCTGCAGGATCAGCCCCAGTCACCCATGATGAGCTCATGAAATTCATGAGTAGCCTCATGGGTGAATTCAAAGGACTAATTAACAAGCGAACGGCAGCCCCTGGAAAGGAGCAGGCGACCACAAAGCCTGCCAAGTCTGGGCAACAGAAGTCGATCCGAGACCGACAGCCGACTCCTCATCCGGAGAAGACTCGGCCTCCATTCGACCTATCAAGACTCCATTTCCCTGAGACAGGGAAAAGGAAAGCCATCTGGCATATTCAGCCGGATGGTAGCAAACAAACATTTCCTGAATGCTTGTCAGTACATTGACCAGCTAAGGAATTAGCAGTTGTCAAAGTCGGCTTCAACGTCGACTTACCATGACAGCTTCTAGAACACCTCGGTGAGGAATTCTCCTTCCGGGCCGAGGACTCCTTCAAGCAGCCCCTTCACACAATCGGGGCCTCACATAACTAATTCGGCGCAATATGTGGCACAACCACCATACAGACCGCTTGCTTTACCTTACATACAGCCTACCTTCTTTGAAGGACAGGCGACATATAATTACCAGCCCTTAGACTGGAAGCTTCGGCTACAAAACCTTAAGGAGCATCCCTATGTGTTCTCCGAGGAAATAGCTGAGGCCGAGCAGCCGACCAAGGTTAAAATGTCATGGTTGGAACCTATGATGGTACTTCCAACCCTGAAGACCACCTCCAGGCATACACCCACCTCATGTACTTACAGGGGTTGGATGATGTCGCCTGGTGTCAATGCTTCCAAGCTACCCTAAAGGGCATAGCCCAACAGTGTTACATAAATAGCTTCAAGACGCTTGCGTTCTTGTTTTCTTCTAACTTGTCTATGAACATCCCTGCAAAGAAAACGAGCCTTGACTCAGGCCATGTGCAGCAGGGAGATAGAGAAGGGTTGCATTCATACGTCAGGCGGTTCAATCTGGTGAGAATCTAGATACAAGGACTGTCTGACGAAGTGTCTTTCACATACTTTTTCAATGGTCTGAAGGACGGGTCGACTTTCAAGTTCGAACTCGTCCGAAAGAAAATCTTCACCCTCCAAGGAGCCCTGATGAAGGCGGACGCTTATATACAAGCGACCAAGCTCTGCTCCTCTAATAAGCAGTCGAACTCTAAGAAGTCTGACCGACAGAAAGAGAGTCGACCTGCTCATCCATCTCTAAAACCAGAAGAAAGCAAAAAGAAAAAACAAATCTAGGCGGTTGATAACTCCGATCAACCGGCCCAGAAGAAAAAGAAAGAGTGGAAACCGTACGTTCCAAGGTACGAGTTCCACAAGGACAGCTAATCCATCCTCATGGAGATTAAGGATCGGCTGACTCTTGAGAAACCGACTCGTATGAAAGGTTCCGCTAAAAATCGGAACAAAAACAAACGATGTCACTACCATGAGGATGTCGGCCATGACACCAACGACTGCTTCAGCCTCAAGCGGGAGATTGATCGTCTGGCCGAAAAAGGAGCGCTGAAATCCTATGTGAAGTCCAAAGTGGCTTCCAAACCAAATCCTGGGAAGTCAAGCAAAAAGAATCCCCAGCCTTCTATTAGCTTAAAAACGGATAAAGAACCCGTCAATACGATGGCAGGAGATTTCGCCGGTGGTGGTCCTACCATCTGGGGAAATAAGGACCATCTGAGAAATATGGTCCACTCTGTTGATGAGGGACAGGCGGCCAGCACATCCGCCTTCCCCGAGGTCATCATCACCGAAAAGGACAGAGGCAAATTCCGTCGACCGCATGATGACCCTATGGTCATAGAATACAAAGTGGCCAACCAATTGGTTGGTCGCATCTTGATTGACACAGGAAGCTCCACAGACAACATTAGCTACAAATGTCTATCCAACTTGAAATACAGGTCAGATAGTATGACAGATATCTCCTATCCCCTAGTGGGCTTTGGGGGAGGAGTTGTGCATCCAGTCGGGTGCATTAATTTGCCCATCCGACTGGGAGAAAAAGGTAGCGGTCGGCACATGACCATTCGGTTCCTGGTGGTCGAGGAGCTTGCCGCCTACAACCTTATCCTTGGCCGACCCACTCTAAACGAGTGCAAGGCCGTCATTATTCCAGCTCTTATGCTTGTCAAGTATGAGAGGAATGATGGGACTGTTGGCTCCCTAAACGGGGACCATAAGACGACCCAAGAATGCTATCTCTCGACGTCAAGCATGCGGCAGCTGCAGGCGTACAGGGCCAAGAGCCAATTTACCTTGATGAGGTCAAGGATGACAATCTGGCCCCACCAACCATTAAAAAGCGAAAGCCTAATCCGCCGGTGGTGGTCAAAAAAAGAAAATCAATAGCAATCACTCACCGGGGAGCGGTCACATGACCTCCGTCCCCAACCGGCTGGTGAGCATAATGATATTCCTCTAAACGACAGTCGTCCAAAGCAAACTGTTAAGGTGGGGACGACTGCTTTTGCTAAGTTGGGCACAAGTCTGCACCAACTGTTGAAAGAATTCAAAGACATTTTTGCCTTTGAAGTGGAGGAGATGCCAAGCATTAGCCCGAATCTTGATGTCCACAAACTCGTTGTGGATCCCAAAAAGAAGCCCATTCAGAAAAAGAAAAGAAACCATGGCAAGGAAAGAAGTCAGGCGGCAGCTACCGAAGTTAAAAAATTGTTAGACGCTGGGTTCATTCGGCCATGTAGCTTCCCTGACTGGGTTGCGAATGTTGTGCTTGTAAAGAAGCCTAATGGTACCTGGTGCATGTGTGTAGATTACACTGACTTAAACTGAGCATGTCCGAAGGATAGTTCTCCACTCCCAAAGATCGACAGTCTGGTCAACTCTACAGCCGGACATGCCCTGATAAGTTTTATGGATGCCTACTCAGGCTTTCATCAGATTTCCCTGTGGAAAAAGGATCAATAACAGACGGCATTCGTCACTGATCAAGGTTATTCTGTTACAATGTGATGTCGTTTGGTTTAAAGAATACGCCTATTACCTTCCAACGAATGATTAATACAGTCTTCATTAATCAGATTGGGAGGAACTTAGAGGCATACATTGATGATATGATAGTCAAATCCAAACAACAGGCGGATTACCTGTCTGATCCCCGAGAAACATTTGCCATACTCAGGCGACACAAGGTCATGCTTAATCCAAAAAAGTGTGTCTTTGGTGTTGAGTCTGGGAAGTTTCTCGGATTCCTGATTCACCAAAGGGGGATTGAGGCCAACCCTGAAAAAATACATGCGGTAATTGACATGCAGTCGCCCCATTCTATAAAGGAAGTTCAAAAACTAACTGGTTGTCTGGCATCTCTGGGAAGATTTCTAAGTCGGTCAAGTGACAAGTGCCTCTATTTTTTCCAGGCGATCAGGAACAAGGTA